TTTATGTCTCCCACAGTGCCTGGCCCGGGACTGGACACGGGGTAGGCACTCAGCACGTCTTGTCAGCGGAAGGACAAGGGCCTGGCGCCTTGGGAGATTAACTATCTAGCATCTAAGCAAGTTTTGATTAGGCTAGGCATCATCTGATTTGCTGCCTTCCAAGGATGGCAGGTACAGACAGTTAGGAGTGTGGTTGACTTGTTACCATCCTTAGTGATGAAGGATGAGGATGGAACGTACGCGGGAAGTTCATAGCTAAGCGACAATTACTTCTTAGGGCCCTTAGCATCATCTCCTCCACTGACAAATCTGTAGCCAGTCTGTTTCTCTACCGCTGCACAGCTTCAAGGGAAGTCAGACAGTCCCAGGGTATTCTTTACCTACACACCAGGAGCCACAAGTCCAAGGAACTGCTGGATTCTTGGGTGACTTGGATGAAGAAAGGCAAAGTAACTTTAGCTTAATCTGACCCAGGAAGGTCTGATACACATTTCATGCAAATCAAAACCTTAATGAGGGGCGGAGAGGGAGGTGGGAGGGGGGACCGGGATGGGGAATACATGTAAATCCATGGCTAATTCATTTCAATGTATGACAAAAACCACTGCAATGATGTAAAGTAATTAGCCTCCAACTAATAAAAATAAATGGAAAAAAAAATAATAAAAATCCAATGATACCTTTAAAAAAAAAAAAAAACCTTAATGAGGCATTACTTCACACACTAGAGCATTAAGGACCAGAAAAGTCAGCTCCATGTGTAATCTTGGAACAGCAACGTGATGAAAAGTATATGCTCATGATGAATGTCAAAAGAGTTCCTGGTGTCTTGGGTTTGGTACCTTGGGAGATCAAGGTGGTAGAGGATAGTGGGTAGGAGCAAGGCTCTGTAGTCAAATTCCAAGATTTGGTCTTGGTGATGCCATTTATTAGCTATTTGATCTTGAATAAATTATTCTCTGGTCTTAGTTTTCTCATCGATAAAATGGAGATAATTCTAGCACCTATCTCCTAAGGTTGTAGTGATGATGAAACAAGTAAATATAGGCAAAATATACACCAAGTGCTTAACCAATGTTACTACAACCTTAAAAGCTAATCTATTTTTACAAAAATCATTATTTCTGCACAGTAAGCATTAAAAGCTTCAAACTCCTCACTGCCCCTCCCCTCTACTAGCTTCCTGAGGCAGTGAATTAAAATAATAGACTTGATCTTTGTCTCTAAATTCAACAGAGGAGTTATTCCTAACCAGACTTGTCTATTGCAATGCAAATTAATGTAAACTATTCATTTTATCTCAAAATCACTTCAGACTCCCACAGTCATTAATTTCAAACCCAGACTTGCCTTTGTACACAATTATTAGTTCTTCTTACAGGGCTGGGGATGTAGCACTTTCATTCACTAACAAAAAGGTTTAGTAGCCCTTCTTGGTGGTGGTCGTGGTGGTAACCGTGGCGGTGACTGAATGAGTCCAACAGAGCGCTGGAGTCAGTATGTTGTAAATTCCCATTTGCTGCTGCAGAAAAGTTATACCATCTCAATGGGGTTTTTAGGCTGAAAGCACGGCAGTTTCTCTACCTTGTTAACAGGATAGGGGGTTCCAGAAAGGAGGTGGCTGTGGGATCCTAAGCAAGCCTTCACCTGTCTGTGTCTTTAGATATCTCTAAAACAAACAGATTATATTAAAAGGTGCAGTGGTTCTTTCCCTTCCAAAAGGCCCTATGTAGATGTAAACCCTGTATCAGGAAGCTGGGCTCTTGTTTTAAAAACTATATTAAAATACTCCCCTCTGACCCCAGCATTGCCACCCCACACCTAAACACACAGACACAGTGAAATTATAAAACAGCATCCATTTATTAGTGCTAAGTGCCAAGTGCTTTACATACATCATGACTCTGAAGCTCACAATAAACTTCTGAGGTAGCTATTAGTTTTCAGACACCCAGAGAGGCCACGGTGAAGGCCAAAGAGGGAGCCTAGATTCTTTCCTGTAGAAGAGGAACCCGAGCCAGGCGGCCGAGGCCCTCCCAGTGCATGACCACCGTCTATACATCTAGTTTACTGCATTCCCAAGCCTTCGCAGTCAGCCGTGGTCCTGGGACCAGGCAACTCCTGTGAGCCGCTTCCTGACATCCCGAGTGCGTTATGGCACCGTGTCCTTGTGGTTCTGCTTTTCCAATCTCTTTTGGGTGGGCTGGTTTTATGAAGCAGTGCAACAAGCGTTCTCTTCAGGCTCTTGAGAGCCTCCAAGGCAGACAGACATTCTGTACTTTTGATTCCAAACTGCCTCCCTTCCTCTCAAAAACTCAAGGCCCTCGACAGTCTCACTGGGGAGAGAGATTCAGCTCCCCAGATTCAGCTCCCTCCTGTGGCTTTTCAGTTTGAGTCAGGTCGCTGGGCAAGGCGGCAGTGATGTGACCTCACTTTCGGTATCTGGTTTCAAAGCACATATTTTAGTCTCCGATTCTACTGCAGCTGCACATTTTCTGAGACTTTATCTTCTATCCCTGCCTTCAGAACTTGAGTCTATGCTGCCAAGCTCCCTCTCTCTCTCTCTCTCTCTCTCTCTCTCTCACATTCTCATTCATTCTCCATCTCTTTGAAAATATTTCACAGTGGAAAATTAACACATCGGAATTAAGACGGTTCCCTGTGACAAGAAAGCAGACCCAGAAGTGAGAACCAGCGTTCTTATAACCGCAGCCATAAGGGATGTCTTTGGAACCATCCTCCTCTTCACAGGGCTGAGAGCTCCAACAGAACTCATCAGAGACTAAGACAGGCTCAGAATGAGAAACGCACAGTTATTACGAGCAGCTGCATTCATCTGAGTTCCTGGAGGGATGTGGGGGGAGACTGGCATTCATTCACTGCTCTGGAAAAGCCTGATGCCATCAGCACCCAAAGGAGCGCGTTCTGGGCGCCGTGTGGGGCATCCACCAGGCCGCTGCCCCTGCAAAGGCGGGGTCCAGGCTCTCCAGGGAGTTGGGGGCACAGGGCCTCCTTACCCCCGTCGCTGGGGCACCGAGGGGCGGGGCCCAACCTGTCAGAGGTGGGCGGGGCCATGTGGGAGGACTTCCTGAGCAGTTCCGCACACCGCCCCCCTCCCCCCACCACTACCTTCACAGAAACAGCTCACGCGTCCTAAGTCCGCGCCCTGCCCTCGGCGTTGCAGAGGGACACGGCACCACCAGGCACCTGCAGTCCCGTCGTCGGCCCCTCAGGGATCAAAGTCCTGCCATCTGCGAAAGGAAGGCGCCGCTTTATTTCCGCGTGGTCCTTTCTTTGGGTGGGGCTTTCCCTCTGGTTTTTAACAAGAAGAAATACAGAACACTCAGCTAAATTTGAATTTCAGATAAGAAATATGTTTTGGTATAAATATGTCCCCAATACTGCAAGGGGCATGCTTATATTAAAACATTTTTTGTTATTTATCTGAAATTCAAACAGCACTGGGTGTCCTGTATTTTATCTGGCAACCATACCCCCTTACAGTCTTCCCTCCCCTAGGCCTTCCCAGGGAGTGCTTATCTTGCAATGTGTTCTCAAGCAGAAATTCCTCAGTTCTGATTCTCCTGGGATTCCTGGTGAAAAAGCAGACTTCAGGCCACATCTACTGAATATAATTTCCAGGGGTAGGACGCAGAAATAAACATTTTATCAAGGTGGTTGTCTAGGTGATTCTGACGCACATTTGTATTAGTTGTTTACTGCCTCCAAACAAATTCCCTAAAACACAGAGGCTGAAAACAACCACATTATCTCACAGTTCATATGAGACAGGAATTTGAGATTGACTTAACTTTGTGATTCTGGCTACGCTTCTCTCATGATGCTGCAATCAAGGGGTTGGTTCAGGCTGCAAACATCTCTAAAGACTGTTCTGTTGCTGGAGAACCTGCTTCCAAGCTCAGGTCCTTTCTGGCTATTAGGTGGAAACGCCAATTCTTCAACACGTGGGCTGATGCCTTTTCCCAGAGCTAGGGATGACAGAGGCAGAGACACACAGGGCGGGGGGGGGGGAGAGAGGGGAGCGCTCCAAGACAAACCCACATCCAAGGGGAGAGAATTACACCGGAGCATCCATACCGAGAGGCAGAAGCACTGGAGCGCTGTCTTAAGAGGCTGTCCCCCACCATATTCAAATTGGAGAATTATGATAGCAAGTTAGTCCTCAACATAGCGCAACCAAAATCACATTTAAAAATTGGAAGTCAGTGTCTTCCTTTACTCACTTTTTTCCTGTTTGCATCCCTCCTCCCCATTTACCCCTTGGGGGTTTAAGACAACAACAATCAGGAAGTAAGAAAAAATGAGGAAGAAAAACAGTCAAAATGACAATCTTAGGAGACTAGCAAAACGTTAAAATTTTTAAATGCCTGTAAATATTGAGGAGGAGAAAATTAAACACCAATCCCACACATATATGGCTGTGTCCACCCCAAAAAACCTCAGCATTCAATGTGACTCTTGGACTTCTGGAAATATTAATGTAAGGTGACCAGCTGTCCCAATTTGCCCAGGTTTTTCCCAGGTCCTGGGAAACCCTTCAGTCTCAGGCAAATCGAGATGGTTATCTTCTTAACATGGAACTGATAAGAAATCAACCACTCTGCCCTTGTCTATAGACTGAGTGAGCCTATCTTGTGATAAAGTGGACAGCATGGGCTTTGAGCTAAAAGCCCACCAACAGGTGCCCTCAGCTGTGACTGTAAGCTATCTCACACAGAAAGCAGGCCCCATAAATCTGCTTTAGTGAAGCTTAAGTATAACGATGCCCATGGAAGTGCCTTGTAAACTGAGAGGTACTGCCTAGATGCTCTTTTCTACTCTTTTGAAGAGAAGACCCTGATCCTAATGTGAAAGGTGGGACCAAAGTCATCACCAGTTTATACTTTTGCAACCAAATGTGACATTGTCTCTTTCAATTAGGCAGATGTGCTGGCCTCCAGAAAAGTAAACACAGCCCACAAAAGCCATATGACACACCTTTAATCTTCATTTAATTTGCATTTTAATCCCCCAGATTGATTCACACTGTTCCCTCCAGAAACTGCTACACTACTGAAAAGGACAGTCATCTCTATTGTATCCTCAATGACAAGTTTCCCAGAAAATCTGTGCAAAGTCTTGATAGGAAAGACATGATTCATTTTTTCACAGCTCTGAGGGTGTGATTCCCTCCTCTCCGGAGAAAACCTGTCACCAGCGGTGCTCCTTCCCTCACCCTCCTCTTCTATCCCTCCAGGCTTGGGAGGATTTTTTTTTTTAAGTAGTGAGAAAGGCAGGAGTCTGTAAATCATGTTCAGGTGTTCAAGGCAGGAGTCTGTATACCATGTTCAAGTGTTCATTCTCTTTTTTTCTTCCGACTTTACCAGTTCTGTGCAGGCCTGCCCAGTTATATTAATATGATGCCAAATCTCAAAATCAAAATAGGAAATGCCATTTTGAACAGACGCCAGTGACTTTTGAGGAGGGCCAGTTAGCAAGATCAGCCACCACTTGTGTTCTGTCCATTCTCCTGCTCCACCCACCCATGTACCCTGACTGTGCGTCCCAGGCACCCAACAAAGATGCTGGACTGATGACGGTGCCGAAGAAAGCCCATCTGGTCTGGCCTGTTCCCTGCCACTCTGCCACTGTATAAGATAGGAGCTCTCCTGAGTCTCAATGGGAAGAATGATGTCTGGCCCTACTGCAGCATGGGGCAATGTGCAAGGATCAAATCAGATTCATGTAAATGAAAGATGTTTAAAAATCTTAAGAGTGCCATATAAATGTAAGGGGTTAGGTTTTATTAGAGTCCTTCCTTCAGCCTGCTTCAGGTATCTGCATAGCTGAGTACTCCTGTAGTAGTATAATCTACACTGTTTACTAGATGAGAATTTCTTCTTACTGACCTCGGCCAGCTTATCTCATAACTATAATCATCTTAACACAGCCACAAAGCTGTTGCCTTATGGCTTCTGTTTTACAGTTTTAACACTTAAGAGGCTGATTTTTGGCCCTGTGCTAAAGACCAGTCTTCAAGGTGTGTCCTTTCCTTGATATGCAAGACAGTCATACCTCAGTTTATGACGTAGTCTTTACCTTTCCATTTTATAACATCTCTACATAAAAACAGACTGTTTAAAAAATCTGTTTTTGAAATTTTTCTAGCAAAATAAAACTGATTTTAAAAAACAGCAATTTAAAAAAACATCAATTTCAAAATACATTAAAAATGTTTAAGTTTAAGCTAAACTTAAACAAGTACCATAATTAAAGAAGGGAATATAAACACATTTCCTCTGTTCATTAAGTTGCATGCAAGCTTATATTTAATATATAATCAAAACACTCACAGCCATATCAAAAGAAATGACAAAAAGTGTTCACTAATAACTCTACCTGCCTGATACAAGTGACTAGTCTGAAAATGAAACTAAGTAAATTATTTCACTATAGCATTTTTCTTCTGGAGGAGAAAGGATGGGAAAGTCAGGTTCAAAGACTCAACCTTATTCAGGGCACTTGGGGAGTAGGCCTAAGGGTGAATGCCATGCATAAGCTCTCAGCACATCCTTCTTTTTTCTGAGCAAAGACACTGTGAGGTTAATTTTATGTGTCAATTTGGCTGGGCCACGGAGCCTAGATTACTCATCAAATATTCTGGATGTTTCTGCGAGGGTGTTTTTGGTCAAGTTCAGTTCAGTTCAGTCTCTCAGTTATGTGTGACTCTTTGCGACCCCATGAACTGCAGCACGCCAGGCCTCCCTGTCCATCACCAATTCCCAGAGCCTACCCAAACTCATGTCCATTGAGTCAGTGATGCCATCCAACCATCTCATCCTCATCCCCTTCTCTTCCTGCACTCAATCTTTCCCAGTATCAGGGTTTTTTCAAATGAGTCAGCTCTTCGAATCAGATGGCCAAAGTACTGGAGTTTCAGCTTCAACATCAGTCCTTCCAATGAACACCCAGGACTGATCTTCTTTAGGATGGACTGGTTGGATCTCCTTGCAGTCCAAGGGACTCTCAAGAGTCTTCTCCAACACCACAGTTCAAAAGCATCAATTTTTCAGCACTCAGCTTTCTTCACAGTCCAACTCTCACATCCATACATGACTACTGGAAAAACCATAGCCTTGACCAGACGGACCTTTGTTGGCAAAGTAATGTCTCTGCTTTTTAATACACTGTCTAGGTTGGTCATAACTTTCCTTCCAAGGAGTAAATGTCTTTTAATTTCATGGCTGCAATCACCATCTGCAGTGATTTCGGAGCCCCAAAAATAAAGTCAGCCACTGTTTCCCCATCTATTTGCCATGGAGTGATGGACCAGATGCCATGATCTTAGTTTTCTGAATGTTGAGCTTTAAGCCAACTTTTTCACTCTCCTCTTTCACTTTCATCAAGAGGCACTTTAGTTCTTCTTCGCTTTCTGCCAGAAGGGTGCTGTCATCTGCATATCTAAGGTTATTGATATTTCTCCCGGCAGAAATGACTCCAGCTTGTGCTTCATCCAGCCCAGTGTTTCTCATGATGTAATCTGCATATAAGTTAAATAAACAGGGTGATAATATACAGCCTTGACGTACTCCTTTTCCTATTTGGAACCAGTCTGTTGTTCCATGTCCAGTTCTAACTGTTGCTTTCTGACCTGCATACAGGTTTCTCAAGAGGTAGGTCAGGTGGTCTGGTATTCCCATCTCTCAGAATTTTCCACAGTTTATTGTGATCCACACAGTCAAAGGCTTTGGCATAGTCAATAAAGCAGAAATAGATGTTTTTCTGGAACTCTCTTGCTTTTTCAATGATCCAGCAGATGCTGGCAATTTGATCTCTGGTTTCTCTGCCTTTTCTAAAACCGGCTTGAACATCTGGATGTTCACGGTTCACATATTGCTGAAGCCTGGCTTTTTGGTTGAGGTTAACATGTAAATTGGTAAACTTTCAGTAAAACAGACTGTCCTCCCTTATACAGGCGGCCTTCACCAAACAGGTGAAGGCCTAAATAGAACAAAGCCTTGGGGAGTGTCAGACTGCGTCCCTTAACTTCTCTTAGGCTTGATTTCCTTGTTTGAAAAACTGAAAGCACCTTGTAAACACTACTATATAATGTCTGGTGTTATATTTATTGTATTTCCTAAATTCACAGTAGCAGCTAACACTTGAGGACATTGTATGTGCCAGGTTCTGTACCGTGTACATATATTATCTCATTTACTACATCCAACAACCTACATGGGAAACAGTAGTACTGACCCCATTTTACAATGAAAAGACTAAGGTATAGAGAAGTTAAGGTACTTGCCTTAGGTCACACAGATGGGATGCAGCAGAGCTGGGACTTACACCTAGATCTATCAGAACGGAATGTTCTCCCTAATGATTAGCTCTGTGACCAGGGGGGAGTTATTCAACTATCCAAGTTCTGACATTCTTGTATGCAGCGTGGGATACCTGTATGTCTCCCAATCCTGGTGTGAGAATTCAGGGGATCACATTCTAGCACAGGGAGGCATCTAGCACAGTGTCTGGTGTGTGCTCAGAGTGCAACAAGATTTCCACTCCAGACCGCTGGGTCCCACACTGCCAGTCCCCATGCAGAGGATGGCTGATGGCCACAAGCCAAAAGGAGCCAGATTCACTGGAAATCAAAGGCCACTCTGCCACACTTACTAAAATCTTGTTTCAAGAAATGTTCTTCCTGAGAAGAGTCAATGAATTTGAACAATTTTTGTTTTTCTTCTATGTTAAGACTTTTAATATGTTCTTCTTAAATATATTTATAAGAAGCCTAATTTACTCTATAACTCAAACCTTTTGGCAAATCAAACATTCCTTAAAATACTAATGAAATACATCTCATATTTAAAAATACAACTATGAGATTATTGTGTTAGTCTGCTCAGGCTGCCATAACAAAGTCCCAGAGACTAGGTAAAACAGAAATTTATATTCTCACAGTAGTGGAGGCTAGAGGTCCAAGATCAAGGTGCCAGCAGGGTTGGCTTCTTTTGAGGCCTCTCTCCTTGGCTTGCCAACGGCAGCCTCCTCCCTGTCTTCACATCTTCCCTCGTTATACATCTGTGTCCTAATCTCCTCTTCTTGTAAGGAAACCAGTCATACTTGGTTATGGTCCACCCTAATGGGGCTTCCCTGGTGGTGCTAGCAGTAAAGAACCTGCCTGCCAACACAGGAGATGTATTTGACCTCTGGGTCACAAAGATTGCCTGGAGGGCATGGCAACCCACTCTAGTATTCTTGCCTGGAGAATCCCGTGGACAGAGGAGCATGGTGGGCTACAGTTCAGATAGTCGCAAAGAGTTGGACACAACCGATTCGACTTAGCACGCAGTACACTAATGGCCTCATTTCAACTTAATTACCTCTTTAAAGGTCTATCTCCAAATATAGTCACCTTCTGAGGTATTGCAAACCAGGACTTCAACATGTGAATTCTCAAGGTACACAATTTAGCCCAAAACAAATATATATTTGTTAACTATAGTTACATTAAAATAAATTCCTATTTATTGGACATCTTCAGAATCACTGACTATGCGTGAAGAATACATTCACTGACTATATTTGAGAAAATATATGCATGAATATATTCATACAGAGAGACTCTTTGAAACAAGCTTTCAGTAAACTGGTTATTTCGGTAAACTTGACAAGTTGGCCATATGGTGAAATGATACTTGTTCAGTCATCTCTCTGAGAATCAACAATTGGGCATATTGATCCAGAGCTGATGAAAACCTGTATGAACCACAATCTAACGGGACCTCCCCACCCCCAAGAGTATCACACTGTTCCCTGAGAGAGAAAAGCACCAAAAGCCATGATCGACTATGGAAACAAGGGCAGCAGGTGGTTGACAGGAGGCCAGGAAGAGGTGTTCTGAGGGAGGAAGGCGTGGGGGAACCTCCAGATCTGAAGGAGGTCAGTTCAGCCGAGTGTTTCCCTGGGAGCCTCCAGATCCTGGTTCAGGGGATGGGTTGGGGAGAGAGAGAAGGGTGAACCTGGAGATAACCCCTATTTCCCAACTCTGCATTTCTTTCCCCCTTCCCCAGGGCTCCCCCAGTCAGGCCCCAGGGGCAGTTCTGCCACAGTTGCCACTTGCTAGTCTCCCCACTAGTGAATCCTTTAGCAGCTTAAGCTCCCTCATGTCGAGGCCCAAGTCCCCTCTTTCATTCATTTAACAGTGAAAACACAGGGTATTGGTGATGAATCCCTTTCTCCCTAGGTGCAAGTGAGTGTGCCAAGTTGCTTCAGTCGTGTCTGACTCTTTGCGACCCCATGGACTGTAGCC